GTATTTATTTGTATTCATTTACATTCTTAAGTTTGTGGATATAGATTTTTAATAGGTTAGTGTCCACACACTTTTTTAAAGGACTGTAATAAAGTCATATAATGGGCTGTACCACTGACTCCCTAAAATAAAACTAAATGACACACATAATGACACTTCATGCTTAAAAAAAAAAGGAAACAAAAAAAACCCAGCTAACTACTCAAAACTACATTTAAAACCAACAAAAAAAAGTCCAACATAAAAAAAACCCCAATCTGTTCCTGCCCCCTTCCAAATTGGCCACTGTTTATCATCCTGCAGCCCAATTCAGAAACACTCCTAGGTTACACCTAAGTTTAACTACTCTCCTGGTTCAGAGACTGTAAAAATTTTTTTTTCTAAGCTTGAACTCTGTTATGGAATGAATTAAAATGAATTTAAAGTGCTAAAGTTTAAAGAAGCTTGAAACCTACATACCTAGGAACTAATTAAGGACAACCAGAAGTATAGGCCTTATAAGAAAAACTGAGCCCAAATCTGTCACATGAGGTTCCAAAAAACAAAATGTAATCACAAAGACACGTAAAAAGCTTTAACTCAAATGCAAGTTTTAAAGGTTGCCACATCTTGAAATAACTGCAGGATTTAAAACCCAGACATTTGACTTAACCTCCACCTTTTCATCTCCATGCCCTATTAAGTAAAACTAGGTTTACACCCTTGCAATGAGGCCCTGTGCACTTTTCCCCAAACTATAACAATGCAATCTCCATTTTGAACAATGCACCTCATTTCCCTCCTTGGAAAGCTCATTTTGTCTTAAAGACAGTAAATTTGATTCCAGGTATACTCTGATTTCGAAAACTTACAAATTTCTAATGCTTATGGCTTTTTTAGGCCACTTCAAGTTGCATGTGCTCCTTTTCAACATCAAGTTACATCTGCTAGCATAAGCCATCCTTTGCTGCATTTATTCAAAATGACCCCTTTGCAAGGCACGCATCTCATTTCCTTGTTTTTAAATAGTAAGTGAACGCTCCATGCACTTCTGACGTTGTTTGTAACACGTTTTGGTGTACCATGCAGTTCTGCAGCAGTCAGAATCCCCATGCATATTCGCAAAGCGCCCCTTGTTCCAGCATGTACTTCCTTCCTTCCCTCCCCTCGCTGCGTTTGTAAGCACATTCTAATGCCCCCCCGCACCTGTGGGGCTGCCAGGAGTTAAGCTGCATACCCCTCACCCCTGTGAGTGCTTGCGGGCATCCCTTACGTACAAGGATGGGAGGAAGAATGCATGCGGATTGGACTTGCAAACCTAGAGGGAGCGTGTGTGCTGCCCTGGGCTGGTGCGATTTATCCCGCTGACTCTCTACCTGGGGTGCTGCTGTAGGTGCTGTGGCTCCTGAAGCTGCTCTCAGTGCAATAACTGGCATCGTCTTCATCCTCCATCTCTTCGGGGTAGTCAGAGTCGTCGTCGTCCTCCTCCTCCATGATCTCCTCCTCCTCTTCCTCCTCAGAGTCCTGGTTATCCTCGGGGTCTGCCTCCTCTTCCTCGTCGGACACCATGCTCTCCTCCTCCTCTTCGCTCTCATGATCATCGTACACCACTTTGCTGATGCTCCTCCTGGACGAGGCAGCCCTGCCTTGGCTGTTGCAGCTGCCTCCTCCGCCTCCTCCCCCTGCTCCTCCAGCCCCGGCCCTGCCCCTACCCTTACCGCCGCTGCCTCCCCCACCAGGGGTGCTGCTGCTGCCGCTGCCTCCCTTCCTCTTGCTGCCCCCCCTGGGGGAGACGGCGGCGGAGGAAGAGGCCTGGGCAGCTCCGGCCCCCTTCTGCTTGGGCCCCGCCGCCGTCTCCGCCTGGGCCGAGCTCGCCCACCTGCCGCGGCTGCTGCCCCGCTGCCGGGACCTCAGCCCCCCGATGGGGCCCGCCGCGGAGGGCGGAGCCGGGGAGCTCGCCTGAGCGGTGCCCGCCGCCGGCTGCTGCTGCTTGGGCGGCCTGCCTCGCCGGCCCCGCATCTCTGGGCGCTGGCCGGGAGGGGGAAGGGAGGGGAAAGGAAGGCTCGGGAGGGCGCTCGGAGTCCGGACAGGCGGCTACGGGGAAGCTCCCCCCCCTGCGAGGGATCCGGGCCGGGGAGGGGGGCCGCCGAGCCGTGAGGGCCGAGGGCTCAATCCGAATTGCCGGCGTCCCGCTCCGGATCGCCACCGGCCGCCATCTTGTTTCTTCGTCTCTGCCTCGGCTCGCTCCGCTCTGACTGGGGGAAGCGGCGGCGGCAGCAGGCCCCGAGCGCCTCACGTGACCGGCCGCATCCGCCAGCCGCCGCCAGGGGGCGCGGCAGCCGCCGGCCGCGAGAGCCATGTTGGAGCCGGCGCTCGGGGGCGGCTCCGCGCTGGGACGAGGGGTATCCCCGCTGCACGCGCTGCCCCTCCGCCGCTCCCTCAGCGCCCTCTTTGCCGCCGTCCCCTCGCACCGGGACGGAGCCCTCCGACCCACAACCTGTCACGACGCCTGTCACGCGGCGCCGTCCCGGCACGCCACCTACCACGAAGTTACCCTCAGCCCCGCTGCCGGGCGCTCCCGGGGCTGTCCGCCGCTCTCCCCAACCCTCAGCTAAAGTTGCCCCGAGGCCGCTGCCCGCCTTGGGGGCGGATGCGAGCCCACCTTAGACTCACCGTCTCCCTGCGCCTGGATAAAGACGCCCGTTACCGGTCCTCGATCCCAGGGCTCGCCTCGCGCCCTCAGGGCGGTCCCCTCGCTCCACGTCCCACAGCTTCAGCCCGGCTGCGCGTCCCGCCCGGGACAGCTGCGAGCGCAGGTAGGCAACGGGCTGCGCCCGCCGCTGCGGCCTGAGGAGGCTCAGCCGCTCCTGCCATCGTTCCTCAGGGCGGGCTCCCCTCAAGGAGGGCTCCCCCCGAGGCGGGCTCTCCCGCCTGCACCGCGCTGGCAGCCTTCCTCAGCCCAAACACCCATGTCCCATATTAAGATCCCGGGCTTTAAATCTTTCCCCTTCACGCAGAAATGAATATGTTTTTACAGCTCACCATTACCTTGCTGGGATTACCGTAAAGCAGAACAAGACTGAAAAGACCTCACTGGGTCCTGCTCTTTGAATTTTAGTCAGTGTAGTTTCTCTGAACTGCTGTGTCCGTTCACTTGGCTCTACAAAATGGAGCTGGGCTTCATTTAGTTTGTATTCCCTCATTTTCACATTTGCCTGAGCCTCCAGGATTTTAAAAATCCACAGAGACCAGATGCCCTGTTGGGCTTCTAATACCACGACTTCAGCTGAAAGTACCAGTTTCCTGACCAAAAGCAGGATAAAAAATAAAAGGCAGTCCAAGGCCTGTCAGCATCTCTCAATACCTACAACCAGCCTTTTTCTCGCTAACTCTTCAGTTGGGTCAATTTTTGAGATCTTATGCTTGCAGAAGACTGTAGCAATTCTACAAACATATGAGTACATTGATACACAGAAGGGGATAAGTTGTTTTACTGTCTCACATTGTGAAACATCTGTGAGTTCTGCCACCTATACAGGGTGAATCAAGAAATACTTTGTTGTGTATGTACTGCACAAATCCACATACAGCCCATAGCACTACGCCTGTTAACATCTATAAAGCAGTGAGGATTTTGATCACTTGAAATAGACAAAGGTGCCAAGTAACATTTGCTGGAAACCAGAACACTGTGTCTCTTAATGACCTCTCATTTATTAGTTGTCATCTAGAAGGGCTTAATATCCTGTTTAGTAAAGAGCTCTAATTCTAGAGCTGGAGAAATGGTTGCACGGAGAGGTATGTTAACTTTCAGAGTCAGGACTATAAATATCAGTCTATTGGTATAATTTAAAAAAGCCCATTTCTAAGTGAGTTGAACACCAAAGGAAGAAGAATTTTACATATGATACCCTATACTGTATCTATTCTTGAGACAGATGAGGAGAAATAGGTTCTCTCAAAATGTACACAGGAGAAGATGTACAGCCTAGTTGTTCCAGGCTGGTAGCTAGGCAAGTGCCTTTCTCCAAGGGTAAAGGAAAGAATTGAAAAACCTAAGAATTTACAGCTGGAAGGCACGGCCTTAACCAACTCAGCAAATCCTCTTGTTTAAATTACTGAGCTGCTTTTGTTCATTCTTTTTCCTCCAAATCACTTCGTAAAAGGTGCTGAATTTAAGTATTCTATTCTAGTCAATTACACGTGCATTTATCAGACACCAAGTTGTTGCTATGTAAGGTAAAGACTAGAGCTGAGCTGCAGACTAAAGTCAGTGTGAGGAAGCAAGGGCTTATGACTTTTGCTGATTAATTCAAATTATCAACTACCATTTTATTTATTACAATGAAAAATATGAAGCATATAAGTATGCTGATACATTAATATTCACTTAATATTATTTTAAAAGGTCATTAAGATTTTATCTGTTATTCTGAACAGTTATTGATGTACTCTTTTTCTCTGGAGGCTTCTGCTTGTTACATTCATTTTATATTAAATCTTAAGAAATCTAGCATTAAGCTTACGTGCCATATCTCTCTTGCATCTCTGATCAGCTTTCATTCAGAGAGACCTTTAGTCCAACAAGTAGCTTGTAACAGATCAGTTTCAAGTGTGTGCCTCACCAGAAGTACAATGCACAGTTGCTTATATCAGCAGTACCTTCAGCAAACCTTGCATTCAGAAAGCTTTTTGGAATGCTAGAATCCAAGCTGTACAGAACAAGCAGAATGAATGAGGTTAACTGGAGATGTTCACTCTGAAAAAGTACTTAGAAGAAATGGACAAGAATGTAGGTAAAAATGTTCTTAGTTTGGTGCTAAGTGTTCTTGTTCAGAAAATAATAAATATGAATGTGTGTGTATATATAGAGAATAATATCAACTTAAAAATAGAGAACAAGAGAAACAAACTCAGAGTATCTATAGATCCTAACCAGAGCAAAGATTAGAGAGCTCTGAAGAATCTGAGAACTCAACTGCCTGTAAGTGAAAAAGAAGCAAATGGAATAGAAGTGACAATTGATTTGATGAAACATTTCTTGAAACCTTTTTACAAATATCCTATCACTTCTCAGCCAAGAATCAGATACAATTTTAGGATATTCTTGTGACTGCATAACAAAATTACAATGAAAATATATGAAAATCATCCAGTCAAAAAAGAGCTTTTAATACACAACCCCCCACGTAGCTACTGAGTAACCGCGTTCTCCCTGTGCACAAAACTCAACTTTTCACATCCCCAATATGGAGTGCTAATACATCCTTGTCATAAAAGGAATCAATAACAAGTTTGTTAATAATTCATTTCATATTCAAATAAGTTCCAGCACTTCAATAGAATATGCCTGAGAGTTTTCCTGGCATTTAATTCTTTGCAGTTCTTGCAAACTTCCTTCGATTTTGTTAAGTTCAGAGTAGAATCGTACCTAAAAACAAAGACCACACATTTATGACAAAACAGATTTTAAATCTTGTTCTACACAATTCATACCATGTAGCCATTTGCTGTCTTACACAGTTTAATACATTCAAACAAAACCAATGCAGCACCTTTAGGGATGAAAATGATGAAGACAAGCAAGCAGTATTTAGTGCTCAATATATTGTAATTGATACGCTGTCTATTTACACGCGTTGTTCTTCTCCAACCCTGCCCTGAGTAATCCTAATGGCCATGTTTTAACTCAACACTACAATGAAATCATTATGCAAAACTTACTTGGGCTCTCACAAACTTATGCATGCTTGAAAGCAATCTTTTTGCTTCTGGTAGCATCACCATAACTGTGAAGTGAGCATCAAGTAATAGGCACATCCAATCCATAATCTGAACAAAAAACAAAACAGAAGTGACATGGGTTTTACTTCAAAAACACTGTGAAATACTAAGTCCTGATAAAAAAGACATGGCTTCATAGTTTAATGCAGGATATTTATTTTCAGATAGAAAAGAAAGCATCATGCTACTCAATAAGGTCCACTAATAAGCAATACCTTACAGAATTAACAAAAGCCTCAGTTGGTTTTAGAGAAACTGAAGGAGGCCCAACTTTTTAGAACTAGTTGCTTACCTGACTTATAGTTGGAGGGAGTACTCCAGGAAGAGTTGTGTTGATTTTTTCACTGCATTTCACATACAGGTAGTGCAAATACCTGAGAAACAGCTGAGAGAAGAAAAGACTGAATGTTTTGTAAGAAGAAACATTTAAGGCCTAGGAGTTCTGCCCTGCACAAGGTAATAACACACAGTGATAATCTTCCTTTTTTTTTTTCTTTAATTAAGAAACTCGAGCATTAAAAATAAGTGTCATGGCTCTCCTCCATCATCTATAGCTGTGAATTTGAAAATTCAGGAATACTCAGTGTGAAGTGACACTCTGTGGTAGGCACCGTTCCAGTGTTCGTGCCAGGTGCACTTTCAGCACAAGTCCTACATTTATTTTTTTTTGTCTCCAGAATAAGACTTGAGGAGATCAGTCAGTGTTGATTAATATAAGTGCAGTTCTGATGTGTGGTGTTTACTGTCGGGTTTTTTTTTTTTTTAATCTGTTCTGGTTTTAATTGCATTTTCTAAATCTGTTTCCACCACATCTGACTAAGTTAGTATCTCAGTAGCTTAAAAGCATTTAAAAATCAGGAGTAGGTACTACACCACTGAAATATTTTTCATGCAGATCTGGTCATAATCAAGTTTTCTTTCTTACATTTACTTAAAACAAGCAGACTATAAGAAATAGTATGTGTTCATTTGGGATATATGGAATACTTTACAGCATTAGATCTTATTACTCATGTTATTTTCATATACTAGTGGCAAGTTGCTGATACAGAACAAACACAGGCACACACCAACACCTTTTTCTTTTCTTTCCCCCAAATAATGAGGGCATTTCAGCTTTCTTTGCTTCAAAATACTTACAACAGCTTGCTGAGCTGGAAGGTCTTTCAGATGGGGCAAAAGAAACGTTTCACTGTAAGCTGAATGAAGAACAGCATTTCTGTGCAATGCTATTGAGGAAATGTTACTGCAGGAAAAATAGGGGTTACTACAAACTAAAACCAACCTTAATTAAAATATTTCTGTAGGTTGAGAGGTCTTTTTGAATCTGCTATTTCTATTATGAAATATATACAGCAACTGAAACACAATAGTCAGCTTGAACACAGTTCCATCTACTGCAAGAAAGGAACAGTCTAACATTTCAATAGACAAACATTAAAAGCATTGAGACTAAATTGCTTTGAACAAAGTTCCAGTCTGCACTTCCATAAATTTAAATTGGTACAGAGCAATTTTCAGCAATAGCAAAAGATCATTTTCAACAATGCTAAACAGACATTCAAATCATAAATACCACACTGACTGTCCTTCATTTAAACGCACAGAGGATACAATAATGCTGCCTTATGAGGTCCAACAGGGCAGAATTCAACACTGTCCATCGTATGGGTTTCCTTCATGCCTTTGACATCACAACCATCTTCTTCCAGTTCAGTGCTGAAACCATTTTCTACAACTTCAGTCTTAACTTTACTGTTTGGTTCAATATCAATGTAAGAGATTACAGATTCTAGATCCACGTCTGTTCCTTCCAGATAATCATCACTAATGCTATAGAAGAAAAATTCCACACACATTTAGTGTTTTTAGTGTTAGCTTAAAAACAAACAAACAAACAAACAAAGCCCAACAATGTCATCAACCCCACAACAACACACACTGACTATTTGAAGCTTACGAGTATGAAAATACACAGCAAAATGAGAGTTTCAAAATGGATCAAGGCCACAAGAAAACAGCTAGCCTTTACCATTAGCTTGAGCAACATGTTTTTGCTCAAGTATTCCAACAATGCAAATTGCTGAACTGCTGGATGTTGCCATAGGCTTCTTTAAAGGTTATACACATACTGTTCAAGACTGTCATTGTATTCTGACATTGCTGGGACTACCTCAACCTATAAGACAGCTACGGTTTTCCTACTGCTCAGTAATAAATATTTGCTATTTTTAAGGCAGAAGATGAACACATCTGTTCAACAGTAAATGGCCAGCATGTAGAAGGATGTGCCATTTAAGCCAGCAAGTTTACCAAAAACCATTTTCCTTTAATTACTGTTTATACAAGTTTTAGAACACGTGCATGCAACGGGCATTTGTAAAAAGCACGTCAGTCTGCAGGACTGCAACACACGCTGTACTCAGAATTTACAGTTTTATGCACTTAATTACTCATCTAAAAACTTGCTTTAAGGAAAAGTCCTGGTTTGGTGAAGAATAAATAAGTAATTAAACAAAAATAATGTAAAAAGACTGATTCCAACTTACCTTAAAAATACTTTCAAGCAAGCGTAAGTAATTTCTTCAGGAATATCTGGAAACCGTTGTAAGCAGATTTGTAAGAGATGTACATCTTTTTTCTCTAAAGCAACAGCCATTAAGTCTGGACACAAACTGTTAGAATATGAAAAGAATAGGCTGCAGAGTTCACACTCACTGAAAGCTCCAGTTACAAAGAATGCAGAAGGATTAATCTTGTTTTACACAAAAATCCACCTGAGAATTGTCAGCTTCATCAGAAAACAAGCAATAGACTTCAAAGGAAACCAAATACAAGCACCTGATAAATCAAGGAGTTTTTTTTTTTTTAATGAAGAACTGAATTTCTACTTTTCAGAAACTTTGGCTTACAATTTTAAACAAAAAAAGAAAAAAAAAATCCAGAATTATCACCTGTAAGATAACTCTCGTTTCTGGATCATCTGTACCAGGAAGTTTCGAGGGTAGAACATTGGATCTGTTTTACACCTGTTCATTAGAGCACTTATTACACATCCAATGGTGGCCTGAAAATCTGGTCTCTGTGCTTTTGACAACAGTTGTCTCAATTCACCTTCAACAGCAGTTGTGGAAGCATCCTGAAAACGAAATACCACGCAGTTCAGATGTACAAGGCATAGATTTGAGGACTGCTCACAGAGGAAGGCAGTAGATCAAAGTATCACAACACTTGCAACAAGATTTCAAAAGGAACCGTATCAGAATACAGATACAGTTACCATATCTTTTGTATCACCATTATGTTTATTTTCAAGGTCGGGTTGGATGCAACACCAAGCAATCAAGTGGGGAGTGCCTCTGCCCAGGGCAGGAGGTCGCAATGAGGCGCTCTTTTGAGGTCCTGTCCAACACAACCCATCCCATGGTATCCTGGGACTCGCTTCAGTGCTGACTCACCAAACGATATATTGAACCAAGTGACCCGATGGGGAGCCAAGTACATTCTCTGACTTGTTTTGGAAATAAGTTAAATGTTATCTTCTGAAAACAATAAAGATGCATAATTATGTGACAAATAATCTACAATTAGCAATTTACAGCACCTTTTTCCCAGCACTGTGACTTACTAGATCCAAAATACCGTCAAAGTGAAAAACACTACAAAAAACGTTAAAAGATTTAAAAAAATAATCAGGTGAAACATCTCACCTTATTTACTGCATGAAAATGCATTCGTGCAAGTTCTCAGAATTCAGACAGCTGTTATAAACCCCATATTGAACACTTATATTACATCTTCCTAAGACAAAACTTCATCGTGCCCAAACACTGCTTTTACACAGTAATAACAGAATCCTCCAACAAACCTGTTTAAGGCAGCTTCTTCAGCTTGATCTACATGAGGAAATGTGAGAAGATAACAGCTTAGGAGGTGCCTGGAATATTCTCAAATGTGACTGAAAATTCATTAAGGCCACTTGGTGTACTTACTTTTATACATAGTAAGAACTGCCCAATTGTGGAGGCATCTGGCTGCATGTTCTCAACGGCGCTCTTTTTTGATCTTAACTGTAATAAGGAAAAACAAGTTATTATTCAGCTCCAAAGAGGCAATTCAAGGATTTCAAGCAAGGTAAATAGGAACATCGTGTGTCATTTGCTACAAATTACATTTAAAAGTAGCAGCATTGGGAAGAGACAAACACAAAACATACAAGCTCACACATTCGTTGTGTTAACTTACTGTCATTTTGGATTCAGACTTTAGAGCTACAGACTGCTGTGACTGATAGGAAACCAGGAGCTCTTCATCTCCAAGAGTATTCCAGTTTACAAATGAAGAAAGATCTGCGAAGACAAAAATGAAGCTACATGAAGTTAACAATGCTACTTATTAAAAACTTCTGATGCTAATACGCATTTTCTGAAGTGTAATACATCTTTTGTAAAGAAACTTCCCTGTTTTCTCTTAGCAGTAAGTAATTTTGAGACGTTCTGCATGTTTTCCCTTTTTAGTCTCTGGTAGGAGGAGAAAAGTTATTCCACAACTTATTGCAAACATCATTTGCCATTTTCTCAGTACAGTGCTAAGCAGTACTTCTCACTTGTATTTTCTTTAACCTCAAGTTTACAATTCAGGCTTGGTACTGCTCCACTTAGTAATAAGTGCTTGGAAAACACAACATAAAAGACTGTGCTTTAATTGGTTCAATGTTTATACCAGCATCTCAGTGTTTTCAATAACTGCAGCATTTGAATGATGCCCCCGTAAGTTCAAACATTTGCATGCTTCAAATTCTCTGACGTTCTCACCAAGAACACTAAGATCTAACAGCTGAATACACCAACTTACTTCGAGCAGTTTAGGCTTAACTGATTTCATACAACAATATTAAAACAATTTTTATGCAATTTCAGAAGTTTTCCTGCTAGCTATCATTGCAGTCAGAGAACTTCTTACCAGAGGTTTGACTGTCCTTCAGTTTTCCCACAGCAGCTGCCAAGGATGAAGTTTCACACTTGTATATAACTACTGTTAGCACTTTTCCATGAGTGAAGAAAAATTTTTCCCCATAACACCACAGCTACAAAATATTAAGCACATTGTTAATGAGGAGTGCATTTCTGCACATGCTAATCTTTAATTTCCAACTACAAAATTCAACTGGAAATCAGCAATCAGATGATTTTAGCAGTTATTTTTGGTAGCTTTTAACATATTAACAGACCTTCATTGACTGTTGATTCTGTCTATGGAAATGACTGCATTGTTGAATATTTTCCAAGGATGCCTTAAACTAAAGTGACTGCTTTGAGGCACCAGGTCCACTTGATTTTTTTAATTATTAGTTTTAAAATTCCTTCCTGTACAATTTTATGACAAAAATGAGTCCGCTGTTCTACTTAACTAGTGTATTTATTAATTAGGTTCCAGTTCACTTACTATTGACAGCTGAATGTTCTGAACCACGGTCACTTGCAAGCTTTCAGAATGTAATAAATACCAACTGAAGATTTCATTCTCACCAAACAAGGCTAACAAAAACCAGAAGTACAGAATTACTACGGATTTTGCTAAACCATGCTCCTGTTTAGAGATCATGACAAAAACAGGTCATCAGTTGGCCAGTATTAGTTTTGTTTCAGAAGCTGGCATTTACTGCTCTTCCAGAACCATAACTGCAGTTTGCTGGTCTCCTTTCTATTGTGCCATATGCACTCAATGAAGGTTTATGAGCCACAAAGGAAAGACTGAACTCACTTGTCCACTGGTTCCCAGGGGCAGTTCCTTTGAAGCCTGTAATGTTTGAAATTTTGTATTCCATATTGTTAGGCATTCTAGGAAAAACAAAGAGAGAAATGTGACAAACCCAAAAGCAACAAAAGATGCTACATTTTCTTTTGTTACTTTCAGTTAGAAACACTTCAGGAAACACAAGTAACTGTTTCAAAATAACTCTGCTTAATAATGTACTCAGCATTACACAATGTGTCTGTTTGGTCTCTCAACAAACAAGTCCGAAAAGCAGCTCTCTGCCAAGAGCACTGAAGAAAAAGCTGCAATGAGAAGAACTGAAATCTCTGTAACTTTCAGTCATAAAATGCTGTTCAGTGGCTTAACTTTCAGTGATCCCACATCTCAGAAGCTCAGTCATGAAACAAGTATTCAACTTCTTTAAGATACCATTTTATTACAGTACATGAGGTTCATTTCCCTGCGTACCTCAGTTTTAAGAGCCAACCCTTTCATTTAATATGCAGTGTTTGTAATATTCACTAAAGAAGAAACAGCAGTGCTCTTTATTCATCTGCTCTGTTAATCAAAAACAATCAAGAACAAAAAGCAAGACACAAAACACCTGCTGCTTTAAGAATGTTGTAGAATTCAGACACCTTCGTCTGACTTTTCCAGTTACCTTTGGATTCTTCACCAGATGCTGCTAGACTTCCCAGTACTGCAACGTGGTCTTTATCAAGAATAACAAAAGAAGTTCCTTTTAGAGCACTTCCAGATATTGAAAGGTTTAGTAGTAGTGATTTGGATAGAGTTTGCTCTTCCTCTTCACTATTTTGCTGTAGAGGTATCAGAACTTTATATACAGAGTCACTGGAGTCTGTCAAAGCAAACAAATGATGTCTTTATGTCTGACATTAAGAAAAACTTCAACATGGCAAGATGAGCACTGAGAAAAGAAGTAAAATAGGATACTTAAAGGGCACATTACCATGCAAAGCAGAAAAATGAAAGCACAGATTTCAGGAGCTTTTTAAAGTACAAGTTATAATGTTGAAGATCAGTAAGGCTATTAAAATATCAGGAAAATTTAACTGTTCAGTCTGCCATTTGCTGTTATAGAACGTTCAACAGAGAAGAGCAAAAATATTAAACAGTAATTCACAAACATCAGTATTTTATGTCCTTCTATGTAACTTATGGTTTTAATATTAAAAAAAAACATTAGAAAATTTAACTCACATAAACACAGAAGTGTGATAATCTGCTTTTTTATATATGCTGTGAAACAAAGTGGATTAGACAATTCCTGTTGTTCAAGCTTGTATTTATGTAGACTCCTCATCTTAAGTTTCTGTATGTAGACAAAAAAATCCCCATCCTAAAACAAAGAGGAAAAAGATTGTCTTTAACTGACAGGAAGAAGGGCTAACAAGTTCAGATATTTCTACTGAACTGTTCTGAATGCTAACAAGACTAGGAATTTGTGTTTGATGCAACAAATAGATTTACAGGGAGGAACAACTGCATGAGGAGAGAAATGAAATCAATCGATTGTGTATTATATTTAATCTTAGCTGTTCTGAACTTTTAAGAGCCAAGCTATCCAGCCCTGAAAATAGCCCATGTAAGTACTGGCCACAGACAACACGCACACAGAATAATTATTTCACTAAACTCTCTTAGAATCCAGTTAAACAAGCGATGGATTCTAGAAGAAGGATTTAGATTTGCAGTTGTGAAAGCTAAATGTTTGTTAAACTCACTTTCTCTGTAACGAAAATTAAGACAGGTTGTTGACCTTCCAGTAATGCTTCACTCCACCTGAAAGCAGAAAGAGGTACAAACATTTTCTAAGTTCTGGGACTACATTTAAAAATCACATCATAATTATTCTGGCAGCCTCTTATATCTGTACTAAAAGTCTAAGGTTTTAAAAGTCAATGCATTAAAAAAAAATAAAAATCATCATCATCAACAAATCAACCCCAAGATCTTGACCTTGGGATGTTCACCTTAAGGTTTCCTCTCTCCTCCTCACAAGGAAGGGTGCAACAACGTGAGCTCCTCTGATCAAGGATCAGGATTCATAGCTTTGTATCACTTACTTGATGACTTCATCTGAGATGACGTTTTCAATTTCTTGTTGTGGAGCTTCCAGAAGAACATCTAAAGTTCGAACAGCCCCTCCTCTGAATAACACCAATGGCTCCGCATGGGGCAGCGAATGTATTCTGTACACCTCAGCTGAAAGCTAAGAATAAAAGGAAATTGTTTCAGTCCTATGTTTATCAGTGCATTACCTTGAAAGCCAAGTGTTTTGCATAACATTTTTGAAGAAGTTATCTTACTAAATGAGTAACACAAGGATGATGAACCTGCAAGATACCAAAAAAATGCTTATTTTTGGAAATGCTATTAGTAATGCAAATCACTACCCAACAGAAAGCCAGGAAAGCATCCTGATGAGCATGAAGTTCATAAATGACATCAGAAAAATTGAAGTAAAGGAGCTCAAACAACTGCTATACACCATTACACAAAGTGCTGTTTGTCGTGTCCCCCAGCAGAACAGAAAATAATTGTCCTTCACCACGACTCACAATCACAAAAGTCCCTTCAAATGTTGGACAGCCATCACTTTATGTGTGGTGCTTTGATGATTAAGCCTATCAACTGAAGTGGATTCCTTGCAATGCTCCGTAACATCACAAACCACAAATCAAGACACCTATCAGCTAAATTGTAATGCTATCAGTATTATAAAAGTCAGCATCTCTTCAACCCCGAGATTCGAAGCGTTAAAAGTGAACATACGTAAGAGACTTACTGTTGCTTTAAATACTTTGTCCAAGTTAACATCTTTATCCTTCCATATTCGTAAAACCTTAAAGAGAAACATCATTTTTTAAGCAGCAAACCAGCAGCACATCGACTTCTTATCATATAAAATAACAGCAATTGCACCTTACTGAAAAAGGAGGAAAACATGCAGCTAAGTATTTAAGCAGCCTTACTGAAAACAGACTTAGGAAGTTTGCATGGGAAGAAGCTGAAACAGAAACCACAAGAATACAAATACAGCTTAACATTTTGATCTTGAAAGAAGTGATAGGTAAGAATGTGGCTAACAAAAAAGAGACAGCAGAACTCTAAATTCAAGTTGATCAAAGCAATGGAGGCAGATTAAGGTACAGATGGTCTGATCTGGAAGGGAACATTTCAAGGTCAAAAAGAGTATTTCATTAACAATAAAAAAGCCAAGTGATCAGTAAGTGCTGAGCAAGCATTGCCAAAAGTACACAACCAGGAAACGTTTAACCATAAGACAAGAGTAGATAGACAAGGATGCAGTCCTGAACCACTTCAACATAACAATCATGCAGTTCTAAATTTCTACCAGTCTGCAACAAGAAAAGCTTACTCTTAGTAAATGTGTGCATGAGGCATCCTTCACTGAGAATGCTTCAGTTTTTAAAAGGCCACTGTGTAACTGATGCTCAGCACAGATGGTTTTCACGTCACTAACAAACGGACTGTGCAGCCTTGGAACTGCACAGCCCTATCCAGAATAAGAGCAGAGATGACCTGAGATACAACAGCATTAAAGCACCATTACCAGCTTTGAAAGCTTGTCATGAAGTGTTGAGAGCTCCAGACATTCCCATTAGCTAAGAATCGAGCACTCCCCATCTCTTCCCTGCCTATATTCACCCAGATGACTCGTGACATCATTTTCCCTCTTAAGAAAAGAATCTCACCTTGTTATCGTGAACCGCTATATATTCGTGAGTCTCAAAGTTGCATACAACTGGACACGTGATAATCTGCCCATGTTTAACTGACCAACAGCCCAGTGGCTTCTGATCTGAGACCTAGAAAAATCAGGACAAAGTCATGTAATTAATATGCAACAGTACACGCTGGGGATTGCTCTCATGACCGAATGAGAACATAAAAATAAGGAAAGTTCCACCCTAACAGGACTCATAACTTAGCATTCTTAACTGCAATACCAGCATTTCAGAGTACAGTGGAGCTCTGCGTAATTAAGAGCTTTTTTTTTTCTCTCCACATGGAGAAATGGCCCATGACAGGAGATTACACCACGGCTTCATTGAGACACAACCTCCAGCCCCGTGACCAAACACATAGAGACAGGCGTTTTCAGAAAGTTTCATTTAATGGTCACTGCAACAGATGCATATGTTAAAAGAAGCAACTACAACCTACAGGTCAAGTATTGCGAGCACACTTAAATCTTTGTTCTCCACCCAACAGGAAGGCAGCTGACACCAAACTGACAATTGGGCTCAACTGCCGTCACCTGAGCGACACGGAGAGGTGACAACCCCTGGGCTGTGAATACTGCGTGCCACGGGAACGGAGAGGAAAAGAAACAGCACGGGAACCACTGGGGGGATCGCCTAAGGCCGCTGCCACGGGTGCAGCGAAGGAAGCACAGGTGAGTGTGGAGGGACAGCGGCCGCTCCCCAGCAGCGCGTCTCGAAGCGGGGCCGCTGCCCGAGGCCGCTCCCACCACGTTCCGCCCGGGGCATCCCTGGAGCTTCCCCGCGAGGCGCTGCGCGGGTACTCCGACACGGGCCGGCCCGAGCGGCCAGGGCTGGGCCCTTACCTTAAAAAGCGTGGCCGTCCTGCCGCGGTCGGTAAGCAGGACGTGGTCGGGATCAGCACCCGGCTCCAGCGCCAGAAGGCCGCTACCGAGGCCGACGCCGCCGGTGGGCCCCAAACCGCATAGCGTGAAGGCCTCGCACAGGGCCGCCATCTTAGCGAGCGCTCAGTTCTCGCGAGACCAGCAGCGGCGTCACACCGCGCCTGCGCGCTACGCAGGCTGGGCGAGGCGGCAGCGCCCCCATGCGAGACGGCGGCGGAAATGGACGAGGCCGCTCGGGAAGTTCCGCTCCGGTGCGAGGAGAGCAGAGCTGTGCCGGCGTGCAGCGTGTATAGAAACAACACTGCGGGTTTTAAGTATTACAAAAAAACGAAGAGCTGATAATTTTTCACTGTCCCATTTCAAAGTGGGCATTAAGAACATTTAGGATTTTATTTATTCAGCTGTTTCCAATGTATTTCATGTGTGATATTAATCCCAAACATTCCAGTGTGATGTGTGAGGGCTTCATGGTGCTGGAGAGATGTGCACAGGTGTTCAACAAAAGGCTTCAGTGGTTTTGCATCTACACAGCGAAGTGCTGCTGCTTTAATTAAAGGTACTTCAGCCTTAGGAAATGTCACATTATAGAAGAGGTTTGTAATGAATGCGTTCCTTCTGCAGGAGTGCAAACTGACACAACCTGAGCAAAGATCAGCTCCAGGTTTGGGCTGATCCATGATGTATGTGTGCATTAGTCTTTTTTTTGTTTGTGTGCAAATTCTGAAAGCCCCAGCAACACAAATCCAACATGTAAAACCCGACCAAAAAAAGGCAAGACAACCAACGCCTACTGCAGGCCCCAGCTGCTGCGTGCTGTCAGAGGCCACGTGCTGTGAGCACTTTTTGAGGCTGTGCTGCAGACAGACCTCTGCCAAGGAGTCCAGCTCTGCCTTCGTCCAGTAGAGAACGGTCACAAGCATGCTTGAGGGACAACAGCAGTCAGAACCAAAGCTGTGTGCAGGCACTGCCCCAGCCTGCTGTTACCAAAGCATTCAATGTCGGATTGTACCTGGATGTTTCCATCCCATCCCATCCACTGCTGCACCTGTGCATGACAGCCATGTTTCCATGCCAGGTGTTTCATTTATTCCCTCTGGCAGGACTTTATGGGTCATTACTGACGTCATTACTGCATTCCTGCGCCTGCATTTCTTCAGCTGGTCATGAAAGTCAGAGAACTGCTTCAGGCACTCCTCCAGCTTGGCTGGGACGCGGCACTCAGTGGATCCCCAGCTGCAGTGTGGGGCTGGTAGGAGCTCCCAGGATGCCAGCTCCTCGTGGCACCCTCTGCTGCATGCAGAGTTGACTCCCAAAGCAGCTGTGGCAACCTGACAGGTTGAAGGGTGCACTCTGTGATTTCTACCTTACATGCTTTTTACACAGATTTTCCTTATTTCCACATCTACACTATTGTGAAACATCTCTATATGAATAAGCACATAAGTCACTTCCTTTGGGGCAGAGAAAACTTGATGTGTATCAAGTAAGCCTTTAGTTGAAAACTTAAAGAATCATTTTACACATGAAATTTACGTCAACAAAGGAAATGGCTTGTAGGTAAGTGATGGAGGACTTCTTTCTTTTGAAAGCTTTCCTGTTTTCTTTCCCTGTATTCACCACAACATGGGGCTGCAAAACACACCAATGAGAATTAGAAATTCTAATTTCTAACTTCCAGTGACAGCTTATCAACCAAGTGGCCTTTTACAAATGAATGGGCTAAGATGAGGCTGACAGGGCATTCACCCTGCAGTGGAGGAGCAACAAAATCTAGGAGGTGTGGGAAAGTGGTTTCAATTTCCCTTACAATGCCAATTCGTTGTGCTATTTACTTTGAGGAACTGACTTGTAGAGCTGGTGGTAGAAATATCCATGTTCCTTGCTAGAGAACAATGTGTAAAAGACAACAGCCACACTTGTAAAGAATAGTTGTTGGCAGTTTATTTACAACAAAACACGAGGAAAAATACAATATTAAAAATAATAAATAACTTGGAAAAGTCAGAAACTAAGTGAAATGGATGAAAAATATACCAATCAAATTCTCCTGCTTAGCCTTGCATTATTTAACATGCAGAGCAATTCGAGACTTGGTCCTTCTGTGATGGTAGTAATGTATTGCCTAATGTAGCTATCATAGTTCTAAATAAAAGAAATGAATTACCAGACATTCAGAGTCACAGGGAATTACCACAGAAATGAAATAAAACAATGAAACTTCTTAAAGTGACACCATAAGACTACAGGAGATTGTAATTCAATGATCATGCTATTCATTTTTAAAGCAAAACATTGTTAGACTTACTTAGCAATTTTAACTTGCACATATAAAACCAAGTCCAAACAATGGAAACAGAAAAGCTCCTATCGATAAGATCATGAATCTCTCTTACTGTGCTCACTAACTCTTACAAAGCACAACTCGTTTGGCGTATTTCAAATGCTAGCACATTGTTCTGAAGTTACAGTGCAGCAAGCTTCAAAGCAGTTGAAACAAATTTAGCAGTCTTGTTACAAAATAAAAGTCAAGGAACAAACATTTCTGTTTCAAATTCTCTACAGCAGCAATTAATGCAAATTGGCTACTAGATGTGACAAAATCGCCTTCCAGAATAATCAAAAAAGCCAAAGAATAAGGTCAAATAGTTTCTTTCCACAGGATTTATCCAGTCATTTACAACTACATTCATCAGAAATCCCGTTCAGCTTGTTTCAGGAATGTGCTGCTCCTCACTGTCCTTACAGGTACCACCGTTTGAATTTATTAGACCACAATGAACTGTTATTTCAATTGCTCCCTATGAAATGTGAGCAAAGCTGGGAGAAGGCTTTAATAGAAACCCAAACAAACTAATCACATTATTTGCTCTGGAACTGTATTGTCCTTACTGAAAACTTCCTGTCCTAGCAGAGCTGTATCATGTAATTCTTTGCCCTGGCAGAGAATAGGAACACAGCTACTGTGCCTCGTCAGCTTTGCTGGGTGCCAACATCCTCTTACGATCATATTCACCAACCACGTGATTTATTGTTGCAAAAGAAGGGCTAACACCTGCAAAATTCCTTCTTTCTCCTCACATAAAAAGTTTGAAAATACAAGAGAAAGCACTGCGATAAAATCAGTAATGGAAAGAACCTCTGCCTCAAGATGTTACTGACATATTCTGACCTTCCTTTCCATTTAATTTTTTGTGATTTTGTGTTTGCTGGGAAAACATTATCCTATATAAAAATGTAAAACAACAACAACAACCACACACAGAACAAGAGATGATATTTAAAATTCTTCTGGGCAAACTGGTTAACTGCTGGCTGATGGGGAAAACAAAGCAGAACACAGCAGAGCTTACAAGCACAGGCAATGGAAAGCCCGGGATATTTCTTACCGAAAGCAATGAGACACTCTACATCTTTTTATTTGCCTTCATTAGTGAGCAAAAAGGAGGTAATGTGGATAATCATGAAGCTCGTTCTGGCCAGCAGAGAATTCAGGCTGTTTGGTCAATAAACCTCTGGATACTCCTCTGGAGCAGTGTTGTGTGGCACAGCTACGGCAGCAGCGCATGCAGGGGGAGGCGTTTTGTCCACAACACGATCAGCATTTTTCTCCTACAGTATTTGCCATGCAGCTAGTAAGCTGTGTCCTATCCAGGCATGTCAGTAATTATCATACTTCTCATCTCCAAATCCTACGTGATATGATAATCCACGTCTCCACATGGCATTAGGAACGAATCAGTCAAATACAAGATATGACTGCTTTGGTCTAATAATCTGCATCAGATACCAAAACTTGTATCGAAACAGTAACACATAAGCACCAGGAAGTGACGACCAGAGCTGGGCAATTTCTTCTTGGGCAAACAACGAGCTCTTTAAAAAATAAGACTATCAATAGGCAGAGGTGACCCAAACTATTTCGATATGTTAAATTTAGGAAATAAAAAATAATAATCAATGCTTTTCAAGAGTTTCCCTTCTCAGTCAATGTTTCAATCGTGCTACCAAATTAAAAAAAAAAAGAGATTAGACCAGTTATAGTCATTACTATTTCTCACAATTTTAAGATGAAATCATTTACTAACGAAGGAAAGTTTTGTTTGTAGCATCACAGCAACTATTTTCAAATGAAAAATTATTATCACCTGCTAGTTTACTGACTACACAGAATTACAACCTCTGGGAAACAACGTAAAACATGGACAGTAAGTGGGAAAATACATGAGGTCAGATCATAGCTAACCTACAAAGAGCTTCTAGATTTTGCTAGGTACAGGGTTTAAACTATCAAACAAATATACACTTGTTTTCAGTGCAGGTTGACAGCAGAATCACCTTCCCTGCTCTACAACTACTCTAGAAATACCACACATTCAACATAACTTCTATTGGATCTACAGCCATTGAGAAGTTCAGTGCATTGAAGCCAGTCAAATCATAGCATTGTGCAGAGAAGATGGCACAAACTTCCTGTGCAGGTAAAAGGCCATCCCCAAACTGATTGTTCAATGTTCAGTGACAGTTCAGCTCTGGAGGACTGTTTTGCATCCATGTACATCACCACCAGTGGTACAAAACACTACTGACTTTAATCATATGATTCAGGTAATAGCTATCATTCACTGGGAATAGAACACCAGCTTATTTAATGCCTACTACAGCTACCAATTGAGATAGATACGGACAACATTAATTAAATAGCAATTAGTCTGAAAGAGAACAAAGTACCCCAAAGGGGGGGCCAGAAGGAAGGTTTGTCACTGAGTTTTCTTTTTGATAAAAAATGAAGGAAGAGAACACTTCTGAAATTCATTTCTCTTCCCCCTACAATCTACACTTCCATGCTGGGAAGCATCCTTTCTGTATTTTAATTCCTGAGATTGAAGAGTGATTTCACGCGCAGACCAGGAGGAGCACTGCTGTTTCCTTAATGCCACCCTACGTGGGA